TGAAAAAGAGGAAGGAGCCAGAAGAAAAATCTGAAAAGTAATGTGATAATATTATGTTTCAAATTAAGTATGCTCACAAATTTGAAATTATTCAGTTCTGGAAATTATCCCCCTTCTGGATATAAGTTGCTTTGAATTAATTCAAAGTAACCAGAACACAACTTACTTTTGCTTTTCCCTTTTTAACCTTCTTTCCTTCCTCTTTCTTTCCCTTCTTGACCAAATCTGGACAACGTAGAATACTATAAAGAAGCATAGCTATGTTACTGGTAAACCCCAGTACAAAGAAAGAGCCATGATCCTCAGTTAGCTGATTTCCTTCATTCTCATGATTAAGATTCTTTGTGCCTATTTCATTCGCACCTGTTTGTTATTACTGAACAGTGAAGCGTACCCCATTCCAGGGGGGCCTCCTCGGTAGGCGGTCCCACTTCCTTCCCACGAAGCCCTGAAACTGCTCCCCCTTTCCAGAGCCAGATCTCCGACGAAAGGGCCTGCACTTGGTTACCTTACCCCCATGTGCTTCCCCGTTATTTCCATCAGTTGTGTTAGTAGTTTGGCTCTGTGTTAGACCTTTCCAATCCTGAGAACAAAATGTATGTAATCTAGATTCCAAGGCCCTTGTTATGCTATGATTCTTACTTATGTTCATCCTAATTGCCAAGTTACTTTGTTGAATGGAATTCTCTTTTTTAAAGACTTATTTATCTGGTGAGAAGAGTCACCGGAGACAAGAGTGGGGAGAAGAACAGGTGGATCCACTGAAATCCACTGCTGAGGGGAGACAGGAGAGATCTGCTGCGCCACGTGGGTCAGCTCCCTGGTTGGGGATTGAACTCATGTTGCAGTGGCTGCCGATAGCTTGATAGCGTTGTCTTTAACCTATGCACCACCAGGGAGGCCCTAGAATCCTCTTTCTTGAACTGTCTAATGAAGGGTTTCAGTTTAGAGTTCCATAGAGGGTGGACCAGGAATTTTGTAAGCCACAGGTCAGCAAACTCTTCTGTAGAGGATCAGATAGAAAACATCTGACCCTTTGCCGGCCCTGTGTCACAGCTCCTCAACTCCACCGTTTCAGTGCTCCCCACCCCTCACACAGACTATATGTAAATGACGTGTGTGGCTTCGTTCCAGTAAAATTTTATTTACCAAAACCACAGAAAACAGGCCATAGCTTGTTGTCTCCAACCATATGGTAGCCATGAATATCTAAAGTAGTATCTGACAGTGTACTGACCACTTAAGAAAAATACTTTCAGTACATACAACAGGGAGTCACCTATAAGGGTTTGAACAAAAATAAAAACTGTAAAAACATTTGTGTGAGACAAAACCCATTGCTCATATAAAAATTTGACAGATTTTACTACATAAAAATTAAGATCACAAAGCACACCATAATCAATGTAAAAGAAAAATGACAAATTGGCAGAATTGCACATGACTAGTAATTGGTATTTCTACAAACCAGTAAGATGAAGAACCCAGGGGAAAATGGGGAACAAATTTAAATCCACAAGAAAATTATAGTGGTCAGTAAGCAGGAAAAGATGCTCATAATAATAAAATTCTTATTAAAGAAAAAAACTCAGGCCGCCAAACTTGTAAATGTGACTATCAATGTAATTATTGATATTCATTATTTTTGGTATGTTGGGGGATGTGGGGATAAAGCACTGGAGGTGATTTTGATGGCTTGAACTAATTCTCTGTTCTTTAGTAAATTACCCCACAACTTAGCTAAAAACAACAAACATGTTATTTCACAGTTTCTGTGGTTCAAGAATCCAGAGTGGCTTAGCTAGATAGAACCAGCTCGAGGCTGTGCTGAGGCTGCTGCGGGCTGCCAGCGGGAAACACCGTCCCTGAGGCTGACTGGACGGCCCCTTCATGCCCACGTACTCGAGTGCCCGCAGCCCCAGTTCTCACCTCCTGCTGGCCAGTGACACCAGGTCCTCATACATGGGCCTTTCCGTCGTCTGCCTGAGTGCCATGAAACATGGCAGCTCATGTTCCCAAGTGAGTTCTCTGAGCGAGAGCAACCTCTGTCATCTGAGCCCATCTGCTGTGGCTCAGACTGACGGGCAGCATGGGAAGGCGCTACCTAAGGTGGGGAGGAGCTACTTAAGGTGAGGAGGAGCTGGGGTCCTTCGGAGCTGCTTTGGGTGCTGGCTGCCACACGGGTTTATAGTCATGGTATCTGTGTCAGCTGGTTGCTCCAGTTCTCTGCAGGAGGGCTGCTTAGCTAAAATGGCCAGAAGTTTTTTTTCCTCGTGTATTTGCCGTCTAGGTTGGCAGAAGCACCTGGGGGCTGACTGGGCATCTTTCACTCCCTGTGGCCCGCCACATATCTAGCTTCCTTAGAACTTTGTGATCTCGGGCTAGTCACAGTGCTTTGTGGTGACTTGCAATCCAGAAGATCTAGTAAGAACTAGAACCAGCAACGCAAGAGACCTCATAAGAAGCTGCACTGCTTCTTTTGACCTGGCCACAGCCTTTTCCATTTTCTGTTATCAGAATATGCCCATGACTAACCCAGATTAAAGGGCATGATTACCAAGAGCTGTGACTTAAAGAAACTGCCCCAGGAAGTTATGCTTGGGAGAGGTGATGCCAGCTACAAAATGCTAACAGTGCAGGAATACAAATTGCTCTAATTCTGGATGCATTTTGAAGATAAAATTGAGAAGATTTGCCCATGGTTTGGATATATAGTATGTGGGAGAAATAGAGAAGTCAAGATGAATCAAACATTTTTGAGCTGAGCAATCTGAAGAAGGGGAATGGCATTTACTCAGATGGGAAAGGTTGCAGGACAAAAGGTTTGGAGTAGAAAATCAGGATTAGTTAAAATAGCTGGCAGCTGTATCGAGAACCACATAAAAGTGTAACCCATGAGAGGGTCCCCAGTGGGTTGTGTGTAGTGAGGTGGAAACACTACCTGTAAATTCATCACCTGGTTCCGAGGATCAGTACATGTGATTTCTGATAAGAAGAAAAATGCATATTTGTTGTTGTGTACATTACCCCATGTAGTTCTAACAGTTCAGGTTAGATATTGGGACCAGCCTCAACACACAGCAGCAGCAGAGCAGGGTCTTTGAAGGTGGAAACAGCATTAGCCTGTGGAGATTCTCAAAAGGGGGGAAGGGAAGTGGGAGCAAGGAAGACCTGGGAGTCGGTATTGGATGCAAGTCTTCCTGCCCATTTTTTCAGCAGGTCTTTATTTATACTGTGTAGCAAGTATTTAATTCCAATAATGCATAAGGTAGGTTAATAAGAATTCACCATTTAAGTTCTCAAGAGGGGAACAATGCATTCTATTCCTGACACTTTATGGTATACTAAATTACACACATTTGTGATAATATTCATGTAGATGGATACTTAACTGTAACTCAAAGGATAAGGGTCTGGGAAAGGATGAGCTGTTAGCAAAGGATTGTTGGGGGTCTTAGAGAAGGAATAGATTGTGTTAGCAGAGTCATCAGTGATTGTCTAAAGAGAAGCTAATGGCTAACTTATGGTTAGCAGAGAGTAGTTAGTGATTGTTTTAGGAAAAGGGTAATTTAAGGCCAGCAGAGAGTAGTTAGTATTTGTTTAAGAAAAGGGTAATTTAAGAGGAAGTTAGTTACACAGTCATGAAAACAATGTTAGAAACACCTATGAAAACAATGTTAGGAAATTGCCCAGGAGTCCTTATGCCCTGGGAGTCTTATCTGAGGTTTGCTTTTTGCTTCAAAAGACAGAGGAAGATTCCCAGAAGTCTTGATGCACTGGGGATCTTACCTCTCTCAAGGCTTGCTTTTGAGACAGAGGAATTTCCTGCACTGGGGCAGCTCGTACTTGTCGTGGCCAGGTAGCCACCTTATGAGGCTAAGGCAATCCAGTTATATTTAAATTTGTAAATATAAATTCTTTATATTATGATTATACAAAAAGGGAGGCCGTAACATAAGTTAGCAATGGAAATTCTGATTTTTCAGAGCTTTTCCCTTCTGCCCAGAATTTGTCAGATGACAGAAGTTGCATAGCTGTGTCAGTTATGTTAAAGAGATTGGTTTTTATTCCTCAGGCAGAGGTAACTTCTTGGAAGTTCTACATCAGCAGAGCAATATAACTATTCTTTGGGAAGCTACATTTTACAGTGTGAAGAAAGAACAGTGGGCGAACTAGAGACTAAATTCTGTTAAGGCCACTGTTATATTCAAATGATAATTATTTCTTTGAAATAAGCCCATGGCAGCCAGAGGCATCATTGTGTTCCTTGTTTTAGTCATAGCAAGTGGACAATACGTCATCATCACTTCAAATTATTTGAGAGAAGAATGGCCTGAATTAGTAAGATATCACAAATACAGATTTGTCTTTGGTTTCTTTATCTTTAAGAGGTGACTAAAAGTAGTATAGCATTGTTAGGTAGGAAATATGATTTAGTTAGATGAAAAGTAGATAAAATATATTTTCTTTGATGCTGTATTTGACTTTTTGTGAGAGTTTACAGCAATTATGTTACTTTGAATTCCGCTCCTCTTAAAAGCTTTATTCAAGGGTTCGATTTTTCGGCAACAAAAATTGTTTGGTAGTGATAGATTTTGAACATATAGGGCATAGTGTTCAAAAACCATAAAACTATCAAAAAAAAGGAATTTCAGGGCTCTTCAGAGGAAGGAAAAAGTACTACAGGGAAGTCATCCCCGGCCAAAGGCCATATGTACATCCCTGCTCTGTAAAGAGGCAGATTTTGTGCTTTGTTTTGAAAAACAATGTAGATTTTTAAAACAGTATTTTGAAGTAATTAATGTACTGTTTAAGGAGGAGTATATCTCTTCCATTTGTGGGGGGTGGTTAAACATAATTTTTTTTTTTTAAGTAAATATCAAATGCATTGAGCCTGTGAGTTTCAATGAAGGGACAAAGTTATTGATTTTATGGTATATTTGTCATTTTGCCCTTAATAAATTACAAGATATTCACGAAAAATACCTTGTTTATTTCAGGGGCTACACTAAGTATGAGACCAGCCCCCATTCCAATAGAGGACCCCGAGTGGAGACAGACGCCTCCCCCAGTCTCTGTCACATCTGGCACCTTCCGACTACGACGTGGAAGTCGATTTACCTGGAGAAAGGAGTGTCTGGCTGTCATGGAAAGGTACGTCCTCCTTTCCTGTGGGCAACCTCCCAAACTGGATTTGCAGTTTTTATTTTAAAGTAACTTCGGATCTAGATTCTGTCTCTAAAAGTATTTTCACCTATTCTAAAAACTGTGTTTTTTCAAATAAGTTGATCTCAGAATTGAGAGTTCATGAGTTGGAGTTAGCTTCTCTCATTGCAATTTCATAATGTTCTCAGTAACTAGAAGCAAAATAATTTCATATCTTTGTAATGTATTTTGGAAAAACTCTTTGAACCAAATAAGCTATGTATGATACCAAGTTTATACTTGGTATAAATGTTAACTGTACCAGACAGAAACTAAGCCATTTAATTTTTAAAGCAGACACCATATACATTTGTCACATGATGTCAGCATGAGGAAGGATTAATTTAAAAGTTAATAACTTGTAATGATAGGTGACATGCCTACACTGTGTTCACAATTGAAGTGGAAAGGCCTTAAGATCCTTTCTCCCCTGCAGGGCAACAAAAACGAGCCCTCAGAGCACTCTTACTAAACTTAGTTAAAAAGATATTAAGGGGCCCTCCCTGGGGGCGCAGCGGGTTACAGCACAGCACTAAGAAGCTTAAGCCACCTCCACATGATTTCGATCCCCGCCTGCCCCGGAGGTGACCACAGGGCGCGGCAGACCTCTCCTGACCCACCCGCGGCTCCCCTCAGCAGTGGACTTCGTCGATCTGCCTGTTCTGCTCCCCACTGTCTCTGGTGAAGCCTCTCACCCTCCTCATCTCTGGTCTGTACCCCAGTTCTGTATGAATAAATAAATAAAATCTTAAAAAAAAAAAAAAAAGATATTGAGGACATAAGCTCTTATGGTTGCTCTTAGTTTTCAGTTTTTAACCTTAATTTAAGTAATACGTGTTTTTATCTAATCCAGCAATTTAGTTACCTTTGGGTTTTTTATTTTATTATCCTTTTTATCTTTGATTTTCTTAAATCTTCCCAGGTACAACTAGTAAGAATAGATGTAGTTTATTCAGCTTAGAAAAACACAGAAGTCTCTCAAAGTAGCTAATAGCACTACAGAAGTGACATGATTTTCATTCTTTGAAAGTAGACTTTTATTTTCCAAGATGGAATGTAAAATTCCCTAGCCTTAGTGTAATGCATGATAGATTTTCCTAGATTGAATGAATGAATAAATATGAGTAGACTATAAAACCAGGAGAGAATTTAGCATTACTCAGATATATCAATAAGTCAAAAATTATTATTTCATTTTTCTCATCCATATACCAAAATAGAATCCAAAAACTAAACCCAAATAATAAAAGATGACATGGGAAATTCCTCCATCTCCTAAGAACAGGGAAAGTATTTCTTGTGGTTCGAAACGAGGGAAAATATTAAGTTTGATTACATGAATTTAAAAAATGGGGGAGGAAAAGAAATTAAGAAAATGAGCTCCTCCTCCATAACCACACCTCTTTCTGCTTAGACTTACGGACTCTAGGCATTCACCATGAAGGGAGTCTTGCAGTCTATGGCTTTTTGTAATTCATTTCTTTCATGTTTTCAGGTTCACTCCTTACTGTGCAATATGTTGATATTCATTTTTTAATTGACACATAGTTTTTATTTATTGCTTTATTTACCCAACCATTGATAGACACTTGAGGTTGTTTCCACTTTTTGGTTCTGATGAATGGTGCTGCTCTGAAGAAAACTTGCATACTAGTAGAATTGCTGCGCCACACGTGACTCTTCCGTTCCTTTTGAAGAACTGCGGGTGGTTGTGGCGCAGCGTGCTGCCTCACCCCACGCTGAGCCCGGTGCCGGGTAGTACCTGCCCACAACACTGGTATTGGCTGTCTTGTGGATCACAGCCGTCCGAGGGCACGCACCACCATTGAGGTTTTGATGCTGAGCATCTTTCATAGACTTGTATCTTCTCTGAAGACATGTCTGTTTAGATCGAACTCGTGCTGTCATGCCTGCGATGGCTTCATGTTGCTGTGCTTTAACCTGCTGTGCCAACAGGGGAGGGCCGAGAAACAGACAGATAATAATCAAATAACCACACCGCTGAAGCTGAAACTGCCACTGTGACACCTGTATGAAAGGAAAGGTACTTACGATAGTGGGTGTGCTGGAAACTAGGTGAAAAACAGAGGGAAAGAGCTACATCATCAGGAAGCGCACGTGCCTTCTCATTCCAGTTATTTTAAATTCATAAAGGTTTCAGTTCACTCCTCAGTCGCACTAGACACATGTCAAGTGCCCAGTGTGTGTCTGTGTGGTGGCTGGCCATAGCGACGTTCGCCTCCTCTTGACCTAATTGACTCTTACTGTATTCTATGCTTCTGCAATATTCTGTTGTCACAGCTAGGCACTCTCAAACAGCTCACTCCCGCATCTGGGGCCAGCACGGCCTATAAGCAGTTACAGAACGAAGGCGGCAGCTGGGTTTGCAAGAGCGTGAGGTGCAAGCAAAGCAAGCAGAGGGAAAAGTCACCAAGACTTCACCAGAGAGGTGACATTTGGCCGTGTTTTGACAGGTGATAAGTGGATCACCAGGTAGAGAAGAGAGAGGAAAGGACATTAGAATGCCAGATTCCCGAGAAGATCTTTGTGACAGAATGTAGGTTTTTTCTTTCAGGAGCACCTCAACTTTGATTACGCAGGACTTTGTTATACTGTGCTTGCTGTGATCAGATCCCGTGCTTGCTTAGCCTCAGCTTTGCTGTTTAGCCTGTTGGCACAGAGAAAGTTATACGTAATGAATTTGGTCTATTAGATAATGTTTGAGGGAGTATGAAAGATGGACAAGAAATCGGCCAGCCAAGTATGTATTTGAACCGAGGACCAAGGGGAAATAAATGTAATTTGTAGTATCTACCTTCCTAAACCCTAAGTCAGTAAAAGCTTACATTTCAGTGGGTTTTTACAGTTTATAATATGGTAGCTTACAATGCAATTATTAATCTTAATGATGCTTCTGTAGAATTTATTTTACTTCATCTTCACAATCCTAAACCTTGGGTATTTGTTCATTACTTACCATTTACATAGGAGAGCCTCAGAGAATTGGCTAGCTCAGACATAAATGCACGGGAGGAGGGAGAGAGGCCAGCGGGAAGGCTGTCAGATCGTCTCTCCGTGAGCAAGGGAACAGACACTACCGTGTTCAGAACAAAGGGAAAGAATGCCGTAGGCATCAGGAGAAATTTTGCAGAAAAACTCAGGTAATCTAGTGACAGAGTGAGCACTGAGTTGACAGCAGCAAGGACAGAGAGCTGACGTGACGCTCGGGGGCATGCATCCGGGAGACAGACCTGAGCCTCTGGAGACATTGAGATTTGGGGCAGTTCTCTCAGCATCTCTGACCCCTCGCTGCCATGTTTATAGAGAGGTATGTATTTGAGGTAGTGAGAGGGGGTGGCAATCAGAGGCCCCCCCGCTTTGCCTTATGTTAACCTTTGGGGGTTGGGGTTTTCTGTAAAAGGGAGATGGTCATTATGAGAAGACTGGGGAGCATTCTGTGAGATGGTGTATGTGAAGCGCACAGGAGGAATGCCTTCCTCATAGCAAGTGTTAACAAATGTTCTGTTTTCACCTAAATTCCTTCCAGTTAAAATTTGGATGGTGAAGTCACCTCAGGATTTCTGTGTAGATTTCAGTGGTCGCCGAAACAGATTTGGGCGTCATCCATATTTTAGATATTTCTGCTTGTATTCTTTCTGCATTTTTGAAGCTAAAAACAGCTAGAGAATCACGTCAAACCCAGCCGCCCGCTCTCATTTTGGATTCATGACCACGAACCTGAAGTGGGTCTTTCGTTCTGCCAGACGGTCATACTCGATACCTTTTGGCTCACTCTTTCTATTATCTCACACTGTTCTCTCCGCAGTCCCCACCCTCGTTCGCGTGATGGCCTTGCTTTCTGTTTAAGTGAGGAAAATGAAGGCTCAAAGGCGAGAGCCCCAATTGCCCACTGCCGGCAGAGAGCGCACCTTCTCTGCGCCTGCTGCTCGCCACCCCAGAGCAGCCGCACGGCAGGGCCTGCACACTCGCTGCGGCCGGGCCGTCGGTGAGCAGACACGGCGGCGCGGGGCTGCTCTCCGCGCTTTCCTCGCCTCCCCCGCGACTGCTCCAGCTGAAACAGTAACGGTTATGCGGGGCTCGTGGGTTTATCGTGATTGTGGAGGCTTGTAATTTCCATAATTAGGAAGGGTTTGCTGTTCCTATTTAAAGGCCTGACTCGGTCTTAGTAGGTAAAGTAGAATTAGATAACTGACCAGCATTTACTCCGTCACTCTCTTATGGGATATTAGAGACATGCTAGCGGTGAGCTGGGTTTTCCCCAGGTAGTTGACAGATTTCAGGGAAGGGGGATGTTATGTGTATTACATGTCTGAAATATCTGCATGTGCAGATTATCTAAGACTCCACTGTTTTTTATCCAGCAAATTTAACTCTCACTTTTTCGTTCATTCAACAAAATGCTTAGTAGCTATGAAGCAGGAGGCCAGAGATAGAAAGAATGAGTACCTTTTAGGGTGAAGGGGTAAAGAGATGGCAGATCTGATACAGGGCAGCAAGGGGCACTAAAGCTGGCCAAGGACATGCCCAAATAGTGTTCCGGTCCCTGTCTGAGTTCTTTACCTGCACGCACAACTGCAAGACTATTCAGGCTCCGAGAACAGCAAGCAGGGAAAAACAGAGTTACCGAAGCCAAAATGGCCATGTACTTCCCCAAGGCAGCGTCCAGGGCTTTAAGTCCAAACAGCAGCAGCTGAGATGCCCTCTCCCCCGAGGACGCAGCTGCTGTCCCCAGCAGTAGGCCACCAGCCCAAGATGGCATCTTCCTGCCCCTGCAGACAGCAGCAGCTTGACTGTTGGCTGGGTCCCAACTCACAAAGACAACCGACGACACGACGGGAGATGCTCTCAGAGCTGACGAGGGGCCCCCAGCACGCACCAGACAGGCGACGCTCGAAGCAGAGGCTGCAGCGGCTAGACGACCTGACAGA